TCAAATCGATTTATAGATTTAACACAATTCCTATCAAAATCTTAGCAAGACTTTTTTCCATGTAGAGTTAATTATATCTTAAATTTTATATGGAAAGGCAAAGGAACAGAAAAAGCTAAGGCAATTTTTCAAAAAAAAAAAAAAGTAAATGGGGAAGAATCAATTGACCACATTTTGCATCAATTTTTTAGCTGTAGTAATTAAGTCTGGTAGCTGACTGGATGCATGCATCAATAGAACAGAATAGAGCCCATCGACATACCCTCTTATAAGTATGGACAACCAAAATAATTTAATGGAGGAAGGATAGATTTTATAGCAAATGGTGTTGAAGTAATTGAACATCTATCAGATGCAGGGGGAAAAAAAACTTTGACCTAAACCTCATGCTACATAAAAAGAATTTCAAACAGAATATAGATTTCAATATAATATTTAAAACTTTTTAAAGAAAATTTGGGAGAAAACTTTGAAGACCTATGGTTTGATTAACAGCGTTAGATTTTATACCAAAAGTATAATTCCTAAATCAAAGTATTGATAAATACAATTTTTTCAACAATCTAACATCTTGTAAACAACATGTTAGATAAAATATTCATATCTAGAATATCTAAAGAACACAGAAAGGCAAACTATTTCATTGGTAATGAGCAAAAGACATGAGGGGACATTTCCCTGGAGAAACATTACTTAGAGTTGACAATAACTGCAAACCTCCTACTTTTTACTACCTAAAACCATGTATGGTGGACATGAACTTTGCATTAATGCAAACCTGACATACAGTTCAAACCCATGGAAGGAAACTCAACTTCACTTAGTGTCAAGGAAATGCAAATTAAAGACCTTGATCGGCCATCACTACATTCCTATCAGACAGCTGATTTTTTTAAAAAGAAAAAGAATAACAACAACAGCAAAAATCCAGATAAGTGTTGCATTCAAAGTCAGGCAAACAAAATAGAACCACCCTGTCATATTTCGTGCAGGCAGCACTTGAAAAACAACCAGAGGACAAGGGTAGCCTCTGTTATCCTCAGGTTCTGCTCTCCAGGGAGCAGCACCAGGGAACACTCCAGGGGGCATCCAGGCCGGGAGCAATCCTGGAGGAATGGGGGCAGCAGACAAAGCTCTCCCTTTGTTTCTGAATAAGCCCATTTGTCATCTGGGCATGATGACTTCCTGGAAGTGCTGAATGCTTTATTGAGGATATTTCAGGAACAAAAGAGATGTTGTACCCTCCAAGTTGTGTGTGCGAGGGGGGGAGAAATGTTCTCAAAGCTGCTAGGTGGGTATAGGGGATGTCAACTAGGAAATGGAATGTACGAGACCCTTTGTCCCTGAGGTCAGTCAAATGACGATAACCATCCCTGGCACCATCCCAGCCTCATCCTGAGCTCTGGGAACTTTCTAACCTCAGAACTCTTGGAGAAAGTTCTCTGCAGCCTGGTGCAGCAGCACCCCAATACAAGTGTTCTTTTGAAATCCACCTCTGAGCTGCCGAGCCTTCACTGGGCCCATCCAACCACAAATTCCTAGCAGATGTTTAGCACGTGAGTGTTGCCCTCCTCCCTGGATTCCTGCAAGAGTCTCTCACCCCACTCCATCTGCTATGAACCAAGCAGGGTGCATTGAGGGTCTGCCCCTGCTCAGGGAGTATAGGGGTACATTGTCCACAGAGCATTTAAAAACCATCGTAAAACTGGCCAGAAGTCAGACCACTTTTTATTTTCATGTCAAATATAAATAATGTCAGTGATAAAATATTCCTCCTGGCCAGGTGGACCACCCTAACACCTCTCCCAGAAACTGGCTAGGCTAGTCTCGGCTCCTAAGGGACAGCTAATCTTTCCCATTCCTGTCTTTCCTTCAGCAGGAGACTTCATTCAAATATACGTACCGAGCATGTCCTGCCCCTGATTTAAAATTCTTGCTTGCTCCCATGGCTAACAGAAGGAATCAACTTCTGGTAGCTTCATGGCTCTTCACCATCAGAATCCAACCTCCTTCTCCAGCCTGCCCTGCACCTTTTCTCCCATTTCCTGTACCCCAAGCTCCCAGTTCCTTGAACACACTATCTCATTCTCCAGCTCTGTGCATGCATATGTTGAAGCCATTTCTTTTATTAAGAATTTTCTTTTCAACCTTGAAATTTCCAGGTCCTCTTCCAAGGCCCTGCTGATGAGGGTCATTTCTCTGAGGAATCTTCCCTGATTCCCTCCAGCCCACAGGAAGAATCCAGAGCACCTACTATGTGACTCTGTTTCATTGCAGATTCTACCTGCTCTGCTTGTATTTCCTAGTTTCCCCTAAGTGTTCTCTAAAGCAGAGTAATTCCTAATCTAAAGATCAAGCCAAAAAAAAAAAAGGGGGGGGGATTTTTTTTTTTTTTTTTGGCAAACCAAGTCTTAGTAGTTAACTGAGTTACTGTGCCTTCAACCTGCCTTCATAACCAGCTTGCTTTTCAGTTCTTGGCCCCTTGGGCCAAGCATATTTTCTCTGTCCATATGATTCACACTCTATGAAACCATCAGGGCAAGTGGACCTAGAGCCACTTTGTGGTCTTGCTTTCTCTCTTTCTCCCAGCAGTCACCTCTAAATGAGATGGTCACAGATTTTAGTTCTAAGATACATAAGAAAAAGAGACCTCCCTTTGGGTCTGTATCCCAGCCACATGTCCCAATTCAGTCTTTTACCCAAGAGCACAGAATTACAGGCAACTGGAAGCAGCTTTAATTACATACTAACTAGATACTTTAACTAGATACTGACTAGTTGTATCCTGACTCCTGCACTGTTCGTTTTCTATCACTCTTAGTGAGAGATCAGTGGTGAAGGGGTGAACAGCTGGGTGGGATCTGGGCCCTGGTGTAAGTCCCAAAGCTGCCCCCAACTTCTACCTCTCACCCCTGTAACTCACCACAGCCAGTTGCTCCCTGTCTCTGCCCTCAGGACGTGGTCTCGCTACAAAGACTGAAGTCCTGCTTACTTTCCATTTCATGGGGCCTGGCACATTTAAGCTGCAGACCAATGTCTACTAAAGGGGGACAGCCTCCATGTAGAGTGTCCTCCACACCCTAATGATTCCCAGCCCTACTGCCAACTCCTGCTTCTGTTTTCTTTGGTCTCTAATCTCCTGTTTTGTTCCGATTTCTGGTCCCTCCCCAGCCCTGCCGGTTGACTCCCACTGAGATCACAGTGGTGAGCAGGTGGTATGTGCCTGAAGCCCCAGCTACTCAGGAGGCTGAGGTGGGAGGATCGCTTGACTGAGAGTTCAAGCACAACCTGGGCAACATAAGGAGACCTTGTCTCAAAAGTTAAAAATAAATAAATAAATAAATAAATAAACCCATCATGGTTATCCCACCCTCCCAGTGATCCTGGTTAGGGAGTGTCCTAACCCACGTCCTAGAGGGAGCCGCAAGTTCTGATCCCTAGGAGGACTCTTGGCCCTTCCTGAATTCAGTCACAGCTGTGGGAGCACAGGAGGCCTGGAACTGCTGCTGCCATCTGTGAGCACAAAGGGGAAGTCCAGCAAGTCCCAAGAACAGAATCCCTCAAACCAACATCATTGGCTGTGGCAAACCCATTGCCAAAATGGTTCCATTTCCCCATGCGCCCTTGGCAAAGTGACTTGGAAGCTCCTCCCATCAGGAGATGGGGGTCTACTTCCCCATTACAGAGCCTGGCTTGACTAGATCTTTTGTTTCTAAATGCCACTGTCAGATGCAGCCAACAGCTCCCTAAAAGAGTGCTGCTGAAGAATTGAAAAAAAAGAGAGAGAGAGAGAGAGAGAGAGAAGGGCCCTAAATAATTTCAAAACCACACCAGCTGCAGAATAGAATACTAGGAATACAGAATATTATTGATTTAAATAGAAAGACCTCTTTTCTTTTATGAAGCAAAGATTAATTGCAAAGCGTCTCTAATCCTCATTAGAACACCCTGTAACAACAAGACCCCTCCCCATTTTTTGTTGTGGTTTTTTGTTTCTTGTTGAATTTTTTGTTTTGTATTGTTTTGCATTGCTGGATGGAACCCAGGGCCTCACAAATGCTAGGCAAGCACTCTACTGCTGAGTTACATCCCCAGCCCTATGATCCCCATTCTATAGTTGAGGAATCAATACCTAAATGTGAGAAATGTGCCCAAGGTCCAAATGCTAGTGAGAACAGCCAGAGTTCAAGTCCAGCTCAGTCAGATGCTGGGATCTGTGCAGTTTCCACTAAACACCATGTAGTGCCTAATTAATATCATTTCTTCAAAATTTGAGCTGAATATAAGCTTCCATAAGATATTATTTGCCAATTCATTACCTCTTAGCCAAGAGAATATTTGTATTAACACTTTGAACACCAAGATCCAGCTCTGTTATAAAGTAGCTATAGTGGCCATGTGGATTTGGGTCAATCAAATGATCTCTTAGGTCTTCAACTCTTTATTTCATTTACAAATGGGAAGTGAAGTCAGAAGATGGTTCAGACCCCTTCCAGCTCCCCTGATTGGAAGGTTTGCTATTTCTCCCATAGAGTATAAGCTGAACCAGAACCTTTTGTCCCAACTCAGCTTTCTAGGAGAGAGACTGAGACTGGCTCAAGTTCAACCCTGGTCCAATCCACTGTGGGGAAATGGGTCTGACAATACCAATCTGGCTCATCAGCTGTGGATATTGGGAAGTAAAGGAGGTTACTGGGTAGGACTCTTGGGCCATCTGACATATGTCAGACCATATCCAACCAGAAAGGTAAGATCCACCAAACCAGATGTTATGGGTCACATATAACTCCAGGGACCACTTTGAGAGTCAAAGTCTTTCCTTTGCTTTGGGAGAGAAGAGCTGGCCACTACCCTCCTTCCCTCTGCTCCTTCCAAATATCATCCAGCAGAAAGTTCACAGCCACATAAGGATCGTTGTATAACAGGAGAGGGACCCAGTAGCAGGCTGGCCTTGCTGGCAGAGAGAGAGAGAGAGCCTTCTCTGAAAGTCAGTGCAGGGAGATGAAAAGCCACAGACCCTCCAGGCCAACTTGCAGGGTGCAAGCCCTGCGAGAGGAAAAGAAAGAGGTCCCTGCACAAGAAAGCTGGTGGTGGCTTGGCCTCAATGACAGGGCTGCCACATCAGTAGGCGATGTTAGATCAGCATTGGGTACTCCTGTCTAGGTGCAGTTCTGCTGCCTGCATCGCCTGTAAGGCCAAACCCCGCCTCCTCCATCCTGCCCCCCCCAGCATCCCGATGGAGACTGCAGGATGCTGACACAGAAAGCCTGCAGTTGCTGGGAGCTTCTCCAGGATGCAGCCTGTGCGTGGAAAAAGGTTTGGACAAGGAGAAGGAGAGGAAAGAGAAACAAAAGTCCTCGGTTTGAGTCAGGGACAGATTTCGAGCTGAGAGCTGGTTGCTGGGTGGGGGCTGTGGAAGGGACGCATGCAGTTCCTGGCTATGGCTCTTCTGCCCCCTGACCCACCTGGCGAAGCTCCTGTCAGCCCAGAGGGGGGACTCAGCCGCAGCAGGAAGTGGCCTCTCAGGAAGGACTCAGGTGGGCTTTGGGGTTATTGGGAAGTGGGGAGGGAGAGGGTATTGGGTACAGGGCCAGGGAAGCCCCAGTGATGGCTGTGAGAATGCAATGGGGGAGAAGGGGACACAGCTGTGGGACAGCCTGGGTGTAGATGAGTCTCTTGGTGCCGGCAAGGCACTGTGCTTTCTGCAGAGCGACAGCAGAGAAGGGCCTGGATCTGAGGCTAAGGGTCAGCATGTCTGTGTCTTCAGACCACTGTGGGTGATGTGGACTGGCCAGCTCCCAGGCTTTCTGTCCCTCAGTGTCATTCTCTCACTGGTAAGTGGGATGGCTCGTAGGAGGATGGCATCACTGCACAGTGCACGGGGAAGGAGGAAGGGTGCAGTCACAGAGGTGGGTGAGGAGGGAAAGAAAGGGCTCCCGAGTCAGCACTGAGAGGCACCTGAAGGACTGTTTCATCCTGGGAGACTCTCGGGGCCTGGAGGCTGCTCTTCCCAAAGGGCCTGGCAGGACTGGCTGTGGGCTGGGCAGAGAATGGCAGCTGCTGACACACAGAGATGCTATGTGACCTTGCACCACAAAGTCCACCTCTCTGGGACAAGGGCAATCATAACACTGACCTTTGTAGATTGTTATGGTAGTCCATAGTAAAAGAGACTTATAAAATTATAAAAGTATTAACTATAAAATCATATGTTAAATATAAAATATTGAATATAAATATAAATTTATTAAATATAAAATTACATATCAAGTATAAAATTATTAAATAGAAAGGTGTAATAGCATTTCTTGGGCTAGTGGTGTCTTACTGGCTCCACGCAAGACCTCTTGAGAATTTTTTTTTTAATGCTGTATCTGGATTTCACCCTGGATCAATTATTCAAATTAGAGCAGGGGACAGCAGACAGGCAGGAAGACTTTTTAAAAATCTTCTTGGGTAATTCCAATGCTCTGTAAAGTTGAGACCTGCTTACGGGTCATAGGAAGTCTAAACATCCTGAAATAATCACTTGGAGCTCATGTATTTAAAAAATGGAGTCTCCGACTTCTCCCAGATCTACTGACTTTTAGGGAGGCCTGGAAGTCTCTGTATAGCTGATCCTTTATATCCATGAGTTTCATACCCATGGATTCAACCAACCTTGGATCAAAACCATTCAGACAAAGATTGCACCTGTACTGTATATGTACACTATTTTTCTTGTTCATTACTCCCTAAACAATGTAGTTTAACAAATACTTAAATATAGCTCTTACATTTTACTAGGCACACAAAGCATCTAGAGATGATTTAAAGCATACAGGAGGATGTCTAGGTCCTATGCAAATACTATATGGTGTTACATAAGAGACTTGAGCATCTGCAGATTTGGGTATCTGTGGGGAACTCTGGAACCAGTCTTCTTCAGATTCCAATGGACAACTGAATTTAGCAAGCAATGAAAGCACTGTAGACATGTTTATTCCAGCAAGGAGTTTGCCAATTATCTCCTTACCCACTGGATGAATAATCACACCTAGTGATGTTCCTGAAGGCACAGCAAGGGGACACATTCTCTTCAGACAGCATATTCAGATAATTGTTTTGAGGAAGGGGTCCTGCCAGGCAGCCAAATCCAACCCCATTCCGGCTCCACCGAAGTGATGGTCCAATTAAAAAAATAACAAATTTCCCAGCCAGAGAGCCTGGGAACTTTAAGATAAAAGGGAAAACAGGATGAGCTATCTGATCACACCAATGAGCCGTGTTTTTGTGTTTTGTCGATAAGGTTGTTCAGGATTCCTTGCTTCACATTCTGTCTGCCTACTGTTCCATTCATAAGGCTGTCCAAACACACATGCAGACACATACACACGCTCGCACTCACTCCACCCTCATCAAGCCAGGAATGGGAGAATAAAGAGGAATAAAGGAGCCTGTGAACTGGGATCAGGCGACTGTGTTCCAAGGGAACACAAATAGTGTTAGTTATGAAAGGTACCCTAGGGGTTGTTTGGTTCAGACTTTTGATCTCACAGAGGCAATATCAGCAACAGCAGTTGAGAGTAGGACTCTGCAGCCAGACGGCCTGGGGTGAAATCCCACCACCCTGCTTCCTGGAGAGCTCCTTCCATGAAATGGGAAGACCACGGCAGGGCAGCTGGGTAGGTTACATAGGTGGGTAGCTGTGCCCGGTGTATGGTGCACAGGACAGTTTTTGCTTCTGTGAGCATTGTTGCTGATGATTTATTCCAGGCAAGGGAGTCAAGGCCTGGCAAGATGATTGCTTTGTTCACACTCTCTGACTCTTATAAGAATATTGCCAAAGGGAAGAGTCATGAATGTGAGCAAATCTCTATACTAAGAGTGCTCACTGTAGCAGCACTTATAAGAACAAAAAACCAAGCAGCAGCTTAACTGTCCAACAGTAGGGTAGCTTACCAATCTGATGAAATCCGTGTGACAATTGTCTGAGAAAACTACAGCTATAATGTGAGGTTTTTAAAATGAAATCCTGCATGATTTCTGTAGAGATACAGAGACAGAACTAGTGTTCTATCAACAAAATATCAACACAGGATATCTCTGGTTATGAGTTGTGGGGATTTTATTTTCTTTCTTATAGTTTTCTGAATCATATTAATTTTCATAGTGAGTAGTGAGTGATATTAGAGTAAAAAAAAATAAATAAAACAAAATAAAATGTTTGTTTCCAGAAACTTGCTCAAGGCCAAACAGCACCTTAGAAGCACACAGGTTTTCCACTCCTGTCCAGGGCTCTGCCCCCACCTCAGGCTGGATTAACAGCGGTAGTAAGAGAAGCCAAATGGGACAAGAAGGATGAACAGACACCAAAAAGTGGCAAGATGTGGTGGAAACGTGCAGGGCTGGATCCCAGCCCAGAAGCTTCCTAGGGCATAGCTGCAAAGGCAGCCCTAGACACATTGCCCAGAACCTTCTATCCTAAAGCCATAGTGTGGCAGGATGCATGAGCCCAGCATACAGTGTGTGCCCTGGAGGTTTCTCTCTCAGAAATAGAAAAGAAGAAGAATGTGTGAGAACTGTGTGAGAATACGTGTTGATAGAGGATTCTACCAAAGTTTCTTTTATCCTTTCTGCAGTCTCCCTAAGGTGCCGAGATGCAGAGAGTACTGGTTAGCATCCCTGCTAGTCTGCATTCCCGCTTCTCCTTAATATAGAAGCCTTTCCGTGCCCAACATTTTTCCAATCATAATGCCAAGGTGCTCGACACAGCCAAAACCAAGGAATGTTTATTTTGCAACATCAAAATAAAAAAGGATCTGGAAACACTTAAAACTAAGATAGATCTCATCTAAGAAAAATAAAAAGGTAGAAAGAAAGGCGGGGGGGGCAGAGAGAGGGAGGGAAGACAAAAGTACAAAGATTGATCTTACTTGATATCAGATAAAATTATTACCTCTCTCTAAAAACTTCTCTATAACCTGTTCAGTTGGTTCTTTAGATGTTAAATTCTGATCTCTGTATCTAAAATAAGAAGCTGGAGCCGAGGAGCTTTGAGATTCAAATATTCAATATACAATAGAAATTTTAGCAAATCCAACTCTTTTTCAAAAATCTCTCCAGTGTCAACAACCAAGCAATAATGTGATTAAGGAAATGATCAAGAAGTGATCAAGCAAGCCCCCCGCACGCTTGGTGAATGCCCTTGAGCATCATAGGATCTTCAAGCAGAAACTCAACTGTCCAATCCAACCATCTCATTTTACAAATGAAGACACTGGGCCAGAGAACAGTGCTACTGGCCAACACATGCTGAGAGCCAGACAGGTGACTTATCCAGGGCCACACAGCAGCCTAGTGACAGACCCAGAATTAGATGCCATTCCCATCTTCCCCACAGTCTATTTGTTCTGATTTTCAGTGGATTTAAAGATCAGAGATGCAAGTAGATATCAGAAATGCTTTCTCATGGCTCAGGATGTCTAGAAAAGGAACAGGTACAAAGGCATTCACAGGTAAAAGCAACGACATCCTTTCTTCTTCTGATTCTGAGCACAGAAGGAAAACGACAGAAAAAAGGGTTTAGTCCTGGGCCAGCCGGTGTAGGAGCAGGTGGTGAGCCTCAGGCCCTCTAGGATGAACAGAGAAGAGTCAAGGCTGAGCTCCTCCAGCAGCCCAAAGAAATTCTAGCTGACAAGAGCTGCCCTGGAAGAACCCAGTCCACCTGGAATTGTTCAACACTTGAAACACTTCAGGAGACAGAGCAAGTGTCACACTTAAACGCAGTGTTTAAGGAAATAGGAAAGAATGAGAAAATCCAGTTGCTTATAGCTCACTAATGGTATTTGTTTCTTGCTCACATTGTGAATAAGATTTTATAAACCGGGCTCTGTGGTGCATGCCTGCAACCCCAGTGGCTCGGGAGGCTGAGGCAGGAGGATCATGAGTTCAAAAACAGCCTCAGCAAAATTGAGGTGCTAAACAACTCAGTGAGACCCAATCTCTAAATAAAATACAAAATGGGGCTGCGGAAGTGGCCCAGTGGTGGAGCGAGTGCCCCGAGTTCAATCCCCAGTACCTCACCCACAAAAAAAAGATTTTGTAAATATGACAATTAGTAATATGATCATTAGGAAGGTGATGTTCTCATTAGTAGGTTTAGTTCATTAGAATAGTGCTCATGAAAACAAACATGTGACAGTCTTTGATTTGGTTAAGAACATGCAGAGATTAGTTAAGACCACACCCCAGCGAAGTGATGCAGGCATCCTCATCCACCCGGAAGAGCATCCAACCTGTAGACAACTGCTAACAAAGTAGATCAGAAACGGAATCTACAAAGACCAGCTCCCACATCTACCTTCTTAGAAGACTTTCTATTGAAGAAGGCTATAAAGGGCCATAGGGAGAGGGTGTCCCCTTTCACATTATCCAGAGCCTTATCAATCATTGTAAATATGGTGACTTTTTATGTAACATCAATTAATATATTGAGAGTTATTGTGATGGGTTGTAAACAAGAACGGCTAGTGGAAACGGAAGAATGGAAGGCTCACAAGGGGTTTCCTATTAGGGGCTGAGACGTGGCTCTGTGGTACAGCATGTGCCCAGCATGTACAAGGCCCTGGGTTCAGTCCCCAGGGCAACCAAAAACCAAGAATAAACAAACACTTTCTGCCCAACTGAAGAGGGGTGTGGAGAACACTAAGAGGATTGAAGCCACAACATGGTCCATATGAAAAATCTCTGATGGCAGAAATTCCATGGACTCAAATCTCTTGGAAGGAGTTTCAGATCTCTTTGACTTTCTCAAAATGTGTTTCTTGGATTAAACTTTCCATAGGGTAACTTGAGAGAGACACAGGCAAAATAATTATAATAATAATTTTTACAACCCATCATAATAACTCTCAATCTATTAATCTATGTGACATAAAAAGTCACAATATTTACTGGGTTAAAGAATTGACCTAGGCTTACTTGCCGCAAGACTTCTCAGAGCCTTTAATTTGAGGCGCACACGTGCTGTGTGTCTCCCAGAGGCAACATTCTGAAGCTCAGTGCCTGGGGATGGCTTTTCATGAGAATACCATGCAGGACCAGAGTTCTGCAAATCACATCTGGGGAACTCTGGCATGAGTTATTGTAGGTAGCATGGCCAGTTAAGCATCCACCTCAGGAGAGGACAAAATAGGAGAAAGGAAGTCAAAAGTGCGACAGGTGATGTATCTCTAAGGCAGGAGGAAAACAACTCAACAAAAAAGATCATAAAGCTCAAACACAAAGAGTTCAAAGGCGTCTGTGCTAGGGATGCTCCTTCTCTGGGGAATATTCAGAACAGGTCTGTAATAACTTAGAAATGCAGAGTGATGGATTCCCTGAGTTTTAACTAAGTCTCTTCCTGCTCCATTATTCTCTGTCACTTTGCTTTGTTCTCTATTTATGTACCATTAAGTGAGTGCAGATGGCTTACTTGCAAATGAAACACATTCCTGAAATGCTGTGTATAAAGCAAATATATTATTTGTAAATGGAGTCATATTTTCCACTGATACAATTCCAAAGAAGCATGTTAACCTCACACATCATCAAAGGCAGGCGTAGAGGAGGCGGTTCCACCTGTGTCCTTGAGCAGCTCTTGAGAGCTCTTCTCTCCAGGGCCAACCCTGGAGAGGGATTGGCCAGGGACTTCTGATCTGAGCTCACTGTCCACAATTGGTTAGGCAACCTCTCAGTCAATCCCCAAGCATGATGGAAGTTCTCAACTGATCCCAGAGATTCAGAATGGACAAGTCATTGCTTTCTCTGGGCCCACTTATATGAAAAAGCATCTCTGATAGCAAAATGATACCATTATACACACACAACTTTTCTGGAAGGTGTATACTGGAAAAACTGAAGCAGACAGACATTGAAATGGAGGCTCAGGATATATTTCTTTTAATTGCAGCCTGATTTAACTTTTTGTGCACTCTTGTCTCATCTAACCTGCTACATCTGAACCAGAGCCAACTTTGACAAAGTTAAGTTAGGGCATATATTTGGGGGAAATGAAAGTAGAGGATCCTTTTTCTTTTTTTTTTTTTTATTATTCGTTATATACTAGGGATTGAACCCAGGGACACTTAAACACCAAGCCACATCCCCATCCATTTTTATATCTTATTTAGAAACAGGATCACACTGACTTGCTTAAGGCTTCACTAAATTGCTGAAAATGGCTTTGAACTCACCATCCTCCTGCCTCAACCTCTTGAGCCCCTGGGATTATAGGTGTGCATCCAGCAGGATCCTTTTAAATCCTGGTTTTCAGATATAAAAGACATCCCCAAGGAGAGAAGACCCACATGAAGTCACTTTGATCTCTTGGAATCCCAAGGATCTGGAGCTGACTCTAGTTCTAATTGCTTTGGCAACTGACCTCTTGAATTCTGGCCCTGAAATAATTTAATGAAATTACAGGTAAAACTAGAAGCTGAGGAAGGTTTTTCTGATCTCCTTCCAACAGCAGTTGGTTCAGATCTATGACCATTTAATCTGCGACCAATAAACTTCCAACGCAGGAGAGTCCACCTCAAAGCCAAAATACCGAGAACCACCCAGGATCTGGGAACACAAGGGATCTGGGAAGGATGACGACGTCATTCCCCCAACAGGACAAGGGCAGAGCCTGAGCTAACAGCCAGTCATTATCCAGGAAAGTGACGAGTCCCTGTCTCATGCCCTGTGGGTGCTGGCGAGCAGGAATAGAGTGGTGTCTCATTATCGCACACCCTGGAAGTAGGAGGCAGTCCTCAAATCAGAAATATCCAAATACTGAATTTTGCCCTGCCGTGTAGTTTGAATCTTAAATGTCTCCCCAAAAGACTCAGTCCTCGGCTTGGTGCTACTAGAAGATGGTGAAAACTTTAAGAGGTGGGGCCTAGAGGGAAGGCGTTCAGTCATCAGGGGATATGACCTTAAAGGGGATGGTAGAACCCTGGTCCCTTCTTCTTCCTCTGTCTCTTTCTCTTCCATATCCCAGCCCCTACCATGATGTGCTGGCTATTCTTCCACTAGAGGCCTAAAAGTAATGTGTCTGTCCAGTCATGGACTGGAACTTCCAAAACTGTTAGTCAAAATAACCTTTTTGTCTTTATAAGCTTATTTATCTGGGGTATTTGTTATAGTAATGGAAAGCTGACTAACACGGCCTGACTGCTCATTTTAATCACTTTAGATGGAAATCCTTAATTGCATCACATATTTCTCTGCCTGTTTAACTGGACAGAGGACACAGCACATTCTTGTTACTATGTGGTACTGTCTTCATTCAGCCTCGTGATCCTGTCTCTCCTAGGTCACAGGGATCATCTTCTCCCAGATACAAGCTTCCACTTCCATGCTCATTGTCTTTTCTATCAGCCACATGCACTCCCACCTCATCTAACCTGCTACCTCTGAACCAGAGTCAACTTTGACACAGTTAAGTCAGATCACAGAGGAAAGCTCTGCAGAGAGGCCACAGTCACCAAAGTCTACAGGGTCACAGGATGACAGAGGTCAGTATAGTTTCCCTAAACATGGCACCCTTTGCTCTTTTGCTTCATAACCTTTGGCAGAAATGGAAATATAGAGAAATGTTTTCCACCCATGAGGAAAATAAGGCCATGGGCATAATGAAAGCTGACCAACAGCCCCAGTCTCCGCATCCAGAAGGCTCACGGACAGCCTCTGGCCTTGGCAGCAGGACCCCAGGCTTCTGGTCTCATGGATTAAGGGTCCTTTTACCTTTCGGAGACTTGCTTTTTCTGTTAAATTTACTGACTTGGTAAAGGAAATCGTCATGGATTGGAAATCAGGAATGAGGATTATTGGAAGCAAAAAGAGACTCAACTCACTCTGAAGGGAACAACTATAACCCAGCTCCTGCTGATGATTGATGGAAAGCAGATCAGGCCCAGACCTTTTGTTTTTCAATAAAAAAAAAAAATACAGAACTGTGAGTGAAATCTCCCAGTACTTCCTAATATCGCATCATTATTGTCACACCCAAATGACGACTTAGGACCTATTGAAAGGAGTAACCTACAGTTTTAGGGTAGGCACTCTGCTTGTGCTCCTTCTATAGTCATTACAAGCCATGAACAAGAAGGTTCCATATGCAGAAAATAAAAGAATAAATAAATAACACACACACACACACACACACACACACACACACACACACTTCCAGGTGCGAGTGTTGGGCTCCTACAGGTGCACATGTGTGTGCTCTCCTGGGTGAATATGGTCCCTGCTGCGAAGCACAGAAAGCAGTTACTGCAGGAAACACAAGCTATTTTCCCCATCATTCCAGACCTTTCTTCTCTTTCCAGCAATGCCAAATTGCCTTAAGGCAGCTGGGGAGTGCTTGTCTGATTTATGGCTCGACTACCATGGCTTCTGGAAACTTTGTTCATTCTTGCCCTAGTCCTGTGATTTATAAAAGACATCTATAACCCAGCAGCCACTTTTCCTTCTCTACCAGGGCAAGCAAGTGCAGAGAAGAGTGGAGAACCTGGTTTCTAATTCCCAGAGATTCTGAAGTCAGCACTCTTGGGTAAGATGCTAAACTTTTGCATTCCTTCTTCCTTCCTGAATCCAAAACAGAAGCCTCAAGTGACCCCCTGCTTTTCTGACAGGGTTTCCTCTAGCTAAGCCTGATGCTTCGGTAACCTGGAAAGTCTGGGGAGGGAAAGATAAAATTGCAAACATTTTAATTCCATTTCCTATGGGAAGTTCTGCTAAGGAGTTTGGTTGGATAGGAAATAAAGTCATTCATTAAAAAGAAAATATTCAAGTAATCCTTAGATTTCCATCTTCTGGGGAAAAGGATGCTGGAATCGGAGTCAGTAAATGAGTGTTCCCGACTCAGCTCTGCCCACATTCCTGTGGGGTCTTGAGTTAATCAGTTCACTTCTCTGCCTCAGTTTCCTCCTTCATGAAAAGAGGCATTTACTGCCCCTTTCAGCTCTCACAGCCCATCTGTCTGTGACCTTCAGTACTGCCCTTGGCAATGCTCTGGTGCTCAGAGAAAGGTTTAAGTAAAATTCCTCCTTTTTATTTTGGTTGGAAATGAACCTTGTTGGATATATATATGTATAGAAATGTCATCCAAATGATTATCGGAGGAATAGGATGGATATACTGGTAATTTTATATATATATATATAGATGACATTTCTATACATTCACTCATATCTTAAGTGCAATTATTTAAAGAAATTCTGCTGTGATTCTTCTAGGCAAAGAGCCTTCTGGTAAAGCAGAGAGCTAACCAAAGTCTATTTTTTATGTCATTTTTCATTTAAATGTTTGTGTCAAAGGACAAAACCGAAAGGTGAGGAACCTGCCTTTCTTTTGAGAGAGCAGGTGGGCCTGGGCCTGCTCTCAGGTGGACATTCAGTGTCCCTCATCAGAACTGGGCTTTGCTGAGAGTTCACTTCCTGCTAAGCCCTTTAACTGGCAGCCTCGTGTAACCCTCACCACAATCCTAAGAGGCAAGTGGTATCAGCTTCCTTGTTTTGCAGATGACAAAACTAAAGCTTAGCAAGGTCAAATGAGGTGCAGACCCAAGTTCAACTCCAAAGGCAGGCAAGCTCTGAATCCAGAAACAGGAGGGCAGCCATGCTTCCCTGCCCTGGTCTGGGTCCTTCAAGAGAAGCTGAAGGGGTCACAGCAGTGCGCTGAGGGCATGCAGAGCATTCTGGGCTGCACTGAGACCCCCAAGGAAAGCTGCAGGAGTTGCTCTCCAGCCAGGAGGAGGCAAATGAGACTCTCGTTTGTAGAAGAAGCTGGCTTCTTCCAACTTCAGGGTCTCCTCTCCCTCCACCTTTGAGAAGGACAGGGAAGCTGAAACACAGCCTGCAAAGTGGAGAGGACATGAAAGTGGCTGGGAACCGAATGGGGATTGAGGATGATGACCAGAGGGAGAAGAATGGAACAGAGTAACAAAGGGCTCTGTAGAACCACGTTCCATTTATCTGAGACGTCCACACAGACACAGGAGAGATCTCCAGAGCCCCATGGGGGAGGGGCTTAGCACACCTGCAGCTTCCCCATCACAGACAAATTGGCACGTAAACAAAAATCTATCTATGCAATTAGGAGCCACAGCTTCGCTCTTTCTTCTTGCTCAGTATGGGTCAGACGCTCACTGCACTCCATTCCACACACCATCTGTGATAGACCACATATAGCCATGTGCCCTTGAACATGTCACCACCCCTCTGAGCCTCAATTTCTCTTCTCCACCAAAGAGGAAAACAACCTGCCTACCTGCCTTGTTTTGTGGTAGTAGACACATGATCATCATAGTCGATCTTTATATAGTGCTTGCGAGTTTAAACATTGGACGTGCATTCATCTATTTAATCGGGGCTGGGATTGTGGCTCAGCGGTAGAGTGCTTGCTTAGCACCGGCGGGAACGGGGTTCGATCCTCAGCACCACATAAAAATAAAGGCATTGTGTAGAGTCCATCTACACCTAAGAAATAAATATTTTTAAAAAATCTATTTAATCATCAAAACAGCCCTATGTTATCAGAGCTATTTTTACCTCTCCCCGCAGTTGACCAAGAGGGCAACTGAGGCTCAGAGCAATTTCATAACTTGCTCCAGTGTCACCCAGCAGAGGAGGGACTTGGACCTAACCACCTGGCTCCGGCGTTCATGGCCCTCACCATTTTATTCTAGAGCTTACTGCCCGAGGAGAGCGCTGGGTGGGTCTTTGTCAGAGGACAGCCTCCTTCCTGTTTCTATTAGAACCCCCCTCAGAGGGGAGGCTGCACAGCAGGGTCCAGTTCACCGGGGAGGGTGAAGCTGCCAGGGAGGGTGGCAGATGCTAGCCAGGTGCCCGGCAGGCTTCCTGGAGGTGAGGGAAGGAATGGGCATCCTCCCGCCCCTCCCAGCCAAGGGACTGTCTTGCTATGTTCTTTTTCAAAGTGGTGTCTTTGCTGCCAAGACCGGGTTTGTCTGTCTCCTGGAGACAGCGGTTGTCAAGCCCTGAGAGAACAGCAAGCATGTCAAAAATAGCAGCGCCAGCAGACTGCGCGGCTGCAATTTCCTTTTGAAATGTCGGCTTTGCTCTCGCCAAAGAGCCGAGGTCTGTCTACCCTCCTTGCAAACTGCAGCAGAGGCGACTTGAGGGTCCAAAATGTTTCCCAGGGGGCAGGCAAAATGTATCATCCAGGGCACAGGAGCAACTGAGAGAAAATTCTCCATATAGTAACAATGATACGGTTGGAGTTGGGTTAAATGAAGAAGAAGGAAAAAAAAAATTGCCATAATCCACAGCAGGGTCGGCCCCAAATAGGTCAAGTGATAGCAGAGGCTAGACCAGTGTTACCTGTCCTGGCTGGTTCTCTCGTTCTCTCTCTCTCTCTCTCTCTCTCTCTCTCTCTCTCTCTAGGAACTAGAGAGTCATTATCCTGTTGGGATAACACTTCCTAAGTGTCACTGATAGGTTTTCACTCCTCCTTTAGGGTCACATGTGAAGCAAGGGGATGAGGACCAAGAAGGAACAAAGAAGCAGGCTAAACTACTTCCTCAAGTTCAGAACAAAGGGACATGAAAACAGGACAATCTGCAACTCCGCAGGGACCGCAAGCCCAGAAGGGGAAAGTGGTGCATCGGGAAACCCAGCAACATGAGAACTAAGAGCCCATCTGTCCTTATTCCCAGTGGCCCGTGAGTGGGAAGATATGTTCTCTCCCTCCAAACCCCCAAGCGCCAGACCTTATTCTGCCATGAGATATCTGTGCAGCCTGGTATAAAGAGGAACACAGAAAGGAACCCTACCCGTGGAATAAATGGATTTCTTTCCCTCCTCTAAGTGATCATGACACTCTAGAATTAGACCACACTTTCCTTCTCGTGGTAATAGCACACCATCAAAACCAATCAGAGCCAGGATGGCAAGTCCAGCCACATTGTCTGGGAATCTAGCTTGGCATTTATGTAGAGATGCAGGGCAACAGAAATCCTGCCCGAAGCAAGCGCTCAACCAGTAGGGAGAAGGAATAATAAGTTGGCAGGACTAGAAAGTGTCATCTGGCAAAAAGCCCTAAGGGAGAGAAGGAAGAGATCCTGTGGCACAGGCCAGAGGAAGAAGAGAAGGAACTGGCTCACAGATAACAATGCAAAGGTAAGATGAATGAAGGTTGTCATCTCCCACTTCTTTGGTTTATCCAAAGCACTAGAGACTGCTGGTCCTCGTTCTAGGGCAAAGAAGGGTTAATGACTACTTTAGTGGGTAGTTGGGGTTGGAGGCTGGGAGAAATAAAACCTTGGCTTCTAGGAAATTTCTTAAGGAAGTCAGAGTATACAGGTCCAAGAATTAGGTGGGGCTTTTGGTTTGTTTGCAGAGGATTTATTTATTTATTTGTTTGTTTGTTTGTGGCCCCCCAAAAAAACACATTCTTTGAGCAAGCTCACCTCCCTACTCCTATATAATTAATATGTCCAACACATTCATCATTAGTTCAGGATGTGCTAGTCATACTCTGCACCTACCAAAAGAATGGCTTGACATAATTTTGGAAAAAGAAAAAGGATATAAATCCTACAGTAGCTTCGTTGACCAAAAAAACACACACACTATCAGTTCTTGGTATCGTACACAAATCACAAGGTGCAACTGCATGAAAGCTCTGAATTGTCCCCATGTGGCAGAAGAAAAAAACTGTCATTCCATTACAGACCTTCAATCTGGTCCATCACTAGAGATGCTAACCTTAACTTATAAAACTAAGTCTTCCTCCCATTGCAGTGGGAGACTCCCAGGTTATTAGACTCATGTCTCCTTTTCCCCCAAATTGCAATGTTTTCTGTTGTTGTTGTTAACTTTTGGAACTGTTAATGACAATGATGATTGTCCCCACAGTCCTATTTCAGAACATTTCCATCACCCCCAAAAGTACTTTGGTGCTAGCTTAACATCCCAGTCTTGAACCCCTGAGGAGCCTGGGGGTTGTCCCAATGTTCTGATGTCCTGATGCAGATGGGACTTAACCCTATGTGCCACGGCCTCCAGTAGGACAACCACACATTCTCCTTATGGACTGGTGGGGAATCTTAACCTACATCCCCAAGGAGCATCTCCTGCACCTAACACCGCTGGGAATGGTGTCCCTCCTTCTCATTCTGCCCTTAGCGCACAAGGGAACCAGCCACAGGCTAAGCAAACCTCCAAGTCAATGATTGGCAGTTATCAGGCAACCCCGAGTGAAGGACTTTTTCATTCTAACTTCAATCTTATACCTTCCTCCCAAGTCCTCTTTTTTTCTGTTTATTTTACTATCCCTACTGTTCCTTTGTCTTCAACATCTCTGCAAGGCTCTTAAGGCTCAGGAACCCTAAGATGACAGACCCTAGTACTATATGGCAGAATGTTAATATGAGGCCTCAAGCTCATTCTCTCTACCCTGCTCCCACCCCTCTCCCCCTCCCTCTTTCATCTTTATATGTTCAGGAAATCACTGGGGGATGTTTTTCTAAACCCAGAGCATCCCAAGTTCCTTGGTAAGTGCAGGACATCCCCCAATAGGGGAGTATGGCAAGAAAGGATGGGGAACTGAGATGTCAGGAAACAGGGAATCCTCTGGCTGGAGGCCGACCTTTTCAAAAACACCCAGGATCACAGCTGTCCTAGAATTCAACAGAAACATCGTAGGTGCTGCCAGCCACCAAAAAAGGTACAGAGAGGGAGAAAGAGGAAGAAAAATACACAGAGAAAGAAGAAGAGGTTGAAAACAATGGGGTGGGGGCAGGAGAAATGAAACAGAGAAGGAAGGGGGAAAAAAAGGCACAGAAAGTGAATTTTAAAAAAGGAGAAAAGGGAGAGGAAGGAGGGAAAGAGATGGTAAGAAAGGTGTGGGAGAAGCGGCACTGAGAGGACAGAGACAGAGGAAAAGGAAGTGAATGGAGGCACAGAAAAATACACCGAGATGGAGCAAGGTGGTCACAGAGAAAAGGCAAATGAAACCCTGCTCCCCCACCCAACTGAATCTTCTCCTACTTTCTCTCCCTGCCGTCCAGATTTCAAATTTGGCATGGAGGCCGATCCAGGAGCAAAATTCCCCCACAGTAGGACCTACCTCAGGTACAAAGGCAGCCAGCTGTCCGTCCTCACTCTTCAGGGACGCATCCCTCAGTCCAGGCTGAGGCTGACAGTCCCAGGAAGTCCTCTGGGAGCCCCTGCCAGCTCCAGTCAGGTATAAAGATGGCTTGGTATAAAGAGTCCACCTTTCCTGGCAGCTGGGAGTCCCCATCCCAGCTGGGCCAGCCACACACAGTGCGTATTCTCCTGATGCTCAGGTCACGACATCCACATAAAGAGGCTCAGAGTCAGAGAGGGGCCATTGGACAAAATCCTTCACAGAAACTAGGTGGGGCCACAGTCTCTCGGTTTTTCTTCCATGTCTCAAGAAGAACTGTGAGATCCCTCCCAGGAGCTCGACTGCTCCCCTAGAAGAAGGGACTTCATTTTTCCCTCAGTCTCTCTTAGAGCCGGGAAGATCCTCTGTCTCAAGAGATGAGAACTCCATGACACCTAAGGCTAGGACTGTTCTCAGCAAAGCCCAGCCTGGCTGCTTCTGGAGGAACACATTGTCCATTCCGAGGGCTCTCCTGGTCATTTTTAAAAGCAGAACATTGATGTTGGTTTAATGGGGCAGCTGCTAAGCATTCAAGTTTCTGAAGACTCAGGGGTAAGGTGAGGCAGCTTCAAGGACTGGGTCAGGGAAACCAGGAAGAATCCAAGGAGGAAGTTCAAGAAGTTTAGTTGCCTCCACATTTTCCAAGGTCCTGTGTCCCTGTCCTGGCTCGACCTACCCCTAAACCAATAGTAGAAGGTGCTCCCATTTGAGAAGCTGGGGGATATGTAGTCTGTTCTCCCTTGATGCCCGAATCAGAAGACTGAGAGAACAGTCTGGAAGGTTGCTACGGCAACCAGAGTCCCTAGAGATCCCAGCTCTCCACAAACCTTTTACTTTCAGGCATGCTCTGATTTGAAAAGGCAATGTTTGCTCAGGGATGATGAAGAGCATGGTCACATACACATATCTACAGATACATGCACACATGGCCCAACAGGGGGCATCCCTTTAGCCACTGACATGGGCCCTTCTTTTCCCAAATAGCCAGGAGTAACAGAAGAGATTTGGAAAAAA